CAGCGTGGTGCCGGCGGTGGTGGTGGTGGTGGTGGTGGCACGTACCTGCGGGAAGGGTTTGTTGGTGGCGCGGTACCCGCCGTCGGGCCAGTCGAGCAGTCGCAGCGTGGTGCCGGCGGTGGTGGTGCCGGCGGTGGTGGTGGTGGTGGTGGTGGTGGTGGTGGTGGTGGTGGTGGCACGTACCTGCGGGAAGGGTTTGTTGGTGGCGCGGTACCCGCCGTCGGGCCAGACGAGCAGCCGCAGCGTGATGCCGGCGGTGGTGGTGGTGGTGGTGGTGGTGGTGGTGGTGGTGGCACGTACCTGCGGGAAGGGTTTGTTGGTGGCGCGGTACCCGCCGTCGGGCCAGTCGAGCAGCCGCAGCGTGGTGCCGGCGGTGGTGGTGGTGGTGGTGGTGGTGGTGGTGGTGGTGGTGGTGGCACGTACCTGCGGGAAGGGTTTGTTGGTGGCGCGGTACCCGCCGTCGGGCCAGTCGAGCAGTCGCAGCGTGGTGCCGGCGGTGGTGGTGCCGGCGGTGGTGGTGGTGGTGGTGGTGGTGGTGGCGGTACCCGCCGTCGGGCCAGTCGAGCAGCCGCAGCGTGGTGCCGGCGGTGGTGGTGGTGGTGGTGGTGGTGGCACGTACCTGCGGGAAGGGTTTGTTGGTGGCGCGGTACCCGCCGTCGGGCCAGTCGAGCAGCCGCAGCGTGGTGCCGGCGGTGGTGGTGGTGGTGGTGGTGGTGGTGGTGGTGGTGGTGGCACGTACCTGCGGGAAGGGTTTGTTGGTGGCGCGGTACCCGCCGTCGGGCCAGTCGAGCAGCCGCAGCGTGGTGCCGGCGGTGGTGGTGGTGGTGGTGGTGGTGGTGGTGGTGGTGGTGGTGGCACGTACCTGCGGGAAGGGTTTGTTGGTGGCGCGGACGAGCAGCCGCAGCGTGGTGCCGGCCGTCGGGCACGTACCTGCGGGAGCAGCCGCAGCGTGGCAGCCGCAGCGTGGTGCCGGCGGTGGTGGTGGTGGTGGTGGTGGTGGTGGTGGTGGTGGTGGTGGTGGTGGTGGTGGCACGTACCTGCGGGAAGGGTTTGTTGGTGGCGCGGTACCCGCCGTCGGGCCAGTCGAGCAGCCGCAGCGTGGTGCCGGCGGTGGTGGTGGTGGTGGTGGTGGTGGTGGTGGTGGTGGCACGTACCTGCGGGAAGGGTTTGTTGGTGGCGCGGTACCCGCCGTCGGGCCAGTCGAGCAGCCGCAGCGGTGGTGGTGGTGGTGGTGGTGGTGGTGGTGGTGCTGCGGCGGTACCCGCCGTGGTGCGTGGTGGTGGTGGTGGTGGTGGTGGTGGTGGTGGTGGTGGTGGCACGTACCTGCGGGAAGGGTTTGTTGGTGGCGCGGTACCCGCCGTCGGGCCAGTCGAGCAGCCGCAGCGTGGTGCCGGCGGTGGTGGTGGTGGTGGTGGTGGTGGTGGTGGCACGTACCTGCGGGAAGGGTTTGTTGGTGGCGCGGTACCCGCCGTCGGGCCAGTCGAGCAGCCGCAGCGTGGTGCCGGCGGTGGTGGTGGTGGTGGTGGTGGTGGTGGTGGCACGTACCTGCGGGAAGGGTTTGTTGGTGGCGCGGTACCCGCCGTCGGGCCAGTCGAGCAGCCGCAGCGTGGTGCCGGCGGTGGGCGCGCCGACTCGGCCGGTGGAGCGGTCGTGCGCGTCCATGACGGTGGCGCAGGAGGTGGTCTCTGTGAGCCCGTAGCCGGCCACCACGTCGCAGCACAGACAGATCCGCAGCTGCAGGTGCGTGTCGGGCGCCAGCGGCGCGCCGCCCGCCAGCAGCAGCCGCAGCCGCCCGCCCAGCAGGCCCTGGATCTTGCTGAACACCTGCCACGAACGCCACCTCATCGTTAGTTCGACTCTACCCCCTATGCCTTCTTTTGTTTTCATGGATGATAATGGAATTCTGCACTGATTTGTTCTAAAGGTATACGCGAGGCACCAGTGTACGATGATAAAATGAACGTAGCCCATCGTAGCAAATTCACCAAGAATTTATCAATATGGTTTCCAAGGAGAACTGCATAGAGATCAACCTGACATGGTACATTGCTAGCAAAGGGGTCAAAAACCTACATTACTAACAATCTTATTCCCCTTACACCGAATGTTCACGATACGCAAACTACTGCCGAATTAGCTCCCCAAACGAACCGAGAGATCCCAATTTACTAAAAGATTGAGAACGTCAGTGGATAGCAGTGCTACAGTTCTCAGCAATCCTGTCCACGCAATCCCCACACTATCCCACTTGGAAATTATCTTGATAAAACCTAACGCTACCATTCCTAACACGTACCCTGTCGACATGAACCTAGCACGATCTCTGGAAACCATAAAATTGTCAGGCTTGAACATCCCACGATTTCCACTGGAAACCATCGTGGTTAACTCTTAACCAATTCGCCACGACATACTAACTGATCTAACTTCATACTTTTTCTATCATCGTATATTGTAAACCACAATAGCAGCGTGTATTTCTCCATTTAAGAAACACCAGAATGTAATAATTATAGCAAGACTTTGTCTAATCACGTTAAGGACCTAACACTGATGGCAGAAAATTTGTAAATGTCAAAAGACAGACTTGAGTCAAAAATTACCCTAAACATACATGCCGTTATTATAATTATTTCAACTTGTTAAAAACAAATATAGTCCCTGGTATTTCGTTGACAATATAGCTTTACACAGTAGATTTTTTTTATCAGTCAAATATTCTTAGATTTTATTTATACAAATTCCCTATTTATAACTATTGTATAGATATACAAAATGTACTCACAATCTTGTTTAGTATGGGCGTGTCATATCCTCGTCGCATCCAAGTCTGTTTGTACGAGTACGCCCAGCGGAAGAAAGCGCTCGCGAACGGTCCACTACGGGACACTTTATCCGTGATGCCTTTGCTGATGCGGTCCATGATTAGCTGTCGACAACAAAATTACATATTTACTACATTATTTATATAAACCAACTATTTATTGTACACAGAAGGCTAATGTCAATGATTTACACGATGTTTTTTTGTGTTTAGTAACAAATTAATCGAGATCTGAACCAACAATCCGTTGCAGGTAAAAATCCGGCTCAAAGGACCAATAATATATTCAGCTCTCTTGATGTCATATTTAGTTATTGACACAAAAATAACATTTTTATTAGAATTATTTATATAATCCAACTATTTATTGTATACACAAGGATAATGGCAACGATTTATACAGTTTTTTGTCTATGTATGTATGTGTACAAATTAAGCATCTGTTGAAAAGTAAAAATCCGGCTCAAAGGACCAATAAAATGTTCAGTTATTTTATAAAAAAATTATGTTATTGTAAATAATTTACTCACCGGTACGGTGGTCATACAGGTGGGTTTGAGGACGGTGGCGTCACCGCTAGTGCCTTTCATGATTTTGCTGGATGAGTCCAACATAGTCAGCGGTGTCGAGTACCCAATTGGAACACCTGTCGACATTCAATTAGTATCTTAAATATATCAAAGCACGAAAAATATTACATGTTTTTGGTTTAAAGTATGTAAATAGACAGTGTATGAGAGAGATTGTAATCAATAACAGTTTTTGGCAAAAGCATTCACGTTTTGGTTACTATTTTAAATTGTATAGTTAGTAAGCAATTCTTATCGATATAAAAGAAAAACTTCACGATAAAAATGTACATGTTACATTTGTTTTAATATTGCATATATAGAAATAAATTACATATAGTACATAACATATATACACTTGAAAGTAATTCTTTATTGTGCACAGAAAAATATTTACAAAAAGATAACTTTATATAAATATGCTAAACAAATGGCAGCCTTATTGCTTAAAGCAATGTCTTACAGACAACCTAGCAAATCATAGTATTTGCATCTCTATATACACATGATATGACGAAACTAACCTCCAATAATGCAAAGACTCTCAGCCAAGAGTTCGAACACGTGAGCGAGCGGTAGGAATCCCATGAGCATATCGTCTTCATATATCGGCACCACATCTGCGAAAGCCTTGAGTGTTGCCAGCATGTTGCGGTGCGAGAGGATCACACCCTTGGGAACGCCAGTGGAGCCGGATGTGTACATGATGATGGCAGTGTCCGATGATGTTGGGGGGACAGGCTCTGTGGAAACAATTAACTACCGTTATGAAGTTTGCAAAATTCGAGCTGTTGCCGTACTTTTAGATTACTATTATTATTACTATAAGAATTTATCCCCTACTTAATATTATTTTTGAGATAATTTTGACGAATTGAGTGAGATGACCAAATGTGATTGAGAGTTGAAATCTGGCCACATAAAAAAAAATTGTGTCAAATTATATGTCGACTGTCTCCAGTGAAGGAAACACCGATATCAAATCTAAAATGAACCAATATCAAATCTAAAATAACATAGTCTTTAATATCTAATGCTGAACAACCTTTACTTAAAAGAGCTACATGCGAGTTTCTTGCTCATTCTCGTGATGAGTCTGCGTTCTAAACGAGTGGTACAATAAAAAATTATGACTATCCAAAAGTGCTTATATTATGTTTATTTGAATAAAGAATATTTCTATCACTTACCAAACTTGGAATCTGCTCCTTTCTGCACCACCTCCTTGTAGCCCACGATCCTGATGCCGGGCTTGTACCCCTCCCTGTCGACGGTCAGCAGCTGGTCCTCCATGTATATGATGGTGTCCACTTTGGGCGTTTTGGCGAGGATCTTCTTGAACTTGGGCAGCAGCTCGTGCGTGGTGATCACCGTGGAGACCTCTGTCTCGTTGATGCCGTGAGCGATTGCGTCGTCGCCGAGAGTTGCGTAGATTGTCACCACTGGAAATTGTATATCATCATGATGATTTCTTACAAGAGCAAGTTGAAATTCAGTTGTAATATTAATGTAACCTACTTGTAACAGAAATTAATTAATCATTTATAGGATAGTAAATAACAGATGAACAATTGTTTTATACTATCCTATAAAATAATTAATCGGGAAACTTTTGCGTATGAAACATATAAAGTATCTAATCTATTTAGATCATTATTAGATTTCCAAATTTTTGAACAATAATATTTTATAAATTATCTATAAGAACTTTCTAAAAAAAATAATGTACGACTTATAAACATATTAAATCATTTTAATCAAACTGAATGAATAATCATTAGATAATATAAAATAAGGTCGCTGTCGCTGTCTGTCTCTATGTATGCTTAAATCTTTAAAACTACGCAGCGGATTTTTTTAATAGATAGAATGATTCAAGTGGAAGGTTTATATATATATAATACATGTACACCCGTGTGAAGCCGGGGCGAGTAGCTAGTTTTATTTCTATCAATTTAATTGTCAAAACTATGTCAAATTACTACTACAGTAATAATTATACTCAACTTGAATGGAGTGAAATTGTTAGGGTGTTTTTCTGTTCATATTATGTAAAAAAAAATGTCTAGCAGTTGTCTAGTAACTATACAATCATAATTGCAATGGTTTCTGTACTTGAGTTTTTCAAGTACACGAACACTTTAATTCTGCGGGAATTGAACCCGCGAGTACCGCAACTAGGCCGCTATAGTACCTCGACGTCGTGACACTGACCTGGTATGCTGAGCTTGAAGCAGCCGTGGGCGGCGATCATCCACTCGGCGCGCGTCTCTGCGAACATGGCGATGTTGCGGCGCGGCTCGCAGCCCAGCGCCCGCAGTCCACCAGCGAACTGACGCGCCTCCAGTTCCATCTCCGTGTATGACCTCCACACGTAGTCGCCCATGTTGAACTGCGGCACATAACATACTCCTCATCAATATTTCCATACATTATATCCGGCGCAAAGGACCAAAATCCGGGCCGAAGGATCAAATATCACAGTGCAATTACACATGGAGGGAAATATACATAACACCTTAGTCCTTAGTAATGACGACGCATGCGAAGCATTCCGTCGCATCCTTAAACACTGTATCCGGCGCAAAGGACCAAATATCAAATATAAGTGCATTTACTACATTTTTTGAAGGTCATTATTACTATTTTTGATGACTAAGATTATATTCATTTATTAAGACTTAGGTGTTGTCACTAAGGTGAAAATTAGACTACCAAATTGAAGGCTTAGTTGTTACCACGTTAATATTAAAAAATGGCAACGCTTAAGAAGCACCAAAGATGTTCATCATCATTTCAGTGTTATCATTGCATGCTGACCTTCTTGAAGAGCCTGCCGTTGGGCTGCGGCTCGTCCTCCTCCCCGAGCACGGTGCGCGTGCCGAGACAGCGGCGCGAGCCCCAGCGCTGCGCGGCGGCCCGCAGCATGCTCTCCATGGTGAGGACGCCGTCGCGCACCAGCCGCACGTGCAGCTCGCCCGGCGCCGACACCGACCGCACCGACACGCTGCCCGCCGTCGTTTGGATTATGCGCGCCTGCAACGTCATTGTACATTTAATATTCGGGCGTCACGTCATGTCTGAGTTACTATTAATATATAGTTGCCGTTAGACTTTAGGTGTTTTTTTTTCGATTTATTCTAAAGTTTCGTCGAACGATAGGAGGCGAGTGCAGATGGCGCTTCAAATCCGCGGAAGGACTTATGGAGCGGCTGAATGCCAACTTCTGCCTGACGGACTACTGGACTACTGGTGGCCTCAGACTAAGGCAGTATAGTCTGAGGCCACCAGTAGGAATTCGAACTTTTCCCTAATGGATACGACTTTAGTCTGAGGGCACCGCTAGGGATTCGAACTTTCTCCCTAGTGGATACGACATAGTCTGAGGGCACCGGTAGGGACTCGAACTTCGCTTCAGGGCGTCGTAATTTCGATTCCCGTTTTAATTGGACGGGGGATCGATCAGAAGGGATAGATGGTTTAGGTGGGTTTGTCAGCATGACTTACAAACTGACCAATATATAGTTGTGTTTTTACTTTGCATCTTTTCCTAACCTAACCTTTTCTTCTGTGTCCTTTAATGCAATAAAAAGTTTTATCTATCCATAATGTTTACCATTTTTGTTACATAAAATCTATTCTAGTGTTTTATAACTTTTTTAGGATCAATAAAACATACATATATAGACTGAAACAAAGGCTATGGGTAAAACTGCGAGGTACAGCTAGCAATATATACAAATGAATTTAACTAACACCCGATTGCGTTTTTACCTGAGAATTACTTCTGTCTTACCTATATTTATAAAATAGTTAAGAAATATGTTAATTTCATAATTACAATCATAAATATATATCATAACTAGCTGTCTCGGCAAACGTTGTTTTCTCTAAAATAAAAAAAAAATTAGGGGGACCCTAACATTTAGGGGGATGAAAAATAGATGTTGGCCGATTCTCAGACCTACTCAATACGCTCACAAAATTTCATGAGAATCGGTCAAGCCGTTTCGGAGGAGTATGGGAACGAAAACTGTGACACGAGAATTTTATATATAAGACTATATATGTGCAATCATTGTTATTGTAATTAGTCGTTGAATGTATTGCAAGATAAAAAAATATGTTTATAATTTCTTATCTCAATTTTATTTCTCCCGCGTGGAGAGATATTTATGAAAGAGTGAGATAACATTTAACACTTATTATTTTTAATCACGCCGTCATCAGCTGATCTGATTAACCGTACCGATGAATGTAGTTTTGTCGGTAATAACTTCATAACAAGGCGCCATCTCATATATTATTGGTACTCTTAAAAAACACACGATAAACTTGTTTTTGTTAAACTTCTATATTAAACTTATTTTGTTTTTATTCAATTACTTTAGTAATTAATGAATTAATGACCTCTGTGACATTTTACTTTGTATGCAGTCTCTTCTCTGATCGATCGAAATTACGACGGTCTGAGCCGAGGTTTGAAACTCTAGCTGTGTTCTTAGATTAAAGTCGTATCTGCCGAGCAGGAGTCAGTTTTCAACCGCTCTATAAGTCCTTCCGCGGGTTTGAGTGCCATCTGCACTCGCCCCCTATCGTCCGGTGAAGATATAAAGGCCATCTGCGGCAAACAGCATTAGAGTTGTCCGATAAAGTAATTTAATTTCTGTAAAAACGTGTCTTTAAGTGTATAGATCTATATAGGTAGGTAAGTATTACGAAAACTGAGCGATATCTTGCCAACAAACTGTTCTGCTTTGTAAAAAGTATTGATCTTTATAATATCTTTATTAAAAAAAATGTCAATCGAATTAATACCTTAATTCGACGCGATAGCGCGCGTTTCCTCCATGGCCTTTGCAGCAATAGATGTATGGGAAAGGTGAGGATGTCGAACACTAGTGTCACTGTCCTGATGGTCTTGAGCACCGCCGACAACCACCATGTCTCCGGCCTGCAAACAAAATGAGGCTTTATTATAATAACATTAGAGTTTTTTTTAATAAAACATGCGTATCCCAAGTCTGTTACAACATCTACCTAAGCTATAAAACAGGGGAATCAACTGGCTCAGGAATTACTATGCTTAAAAAGAGGTTTCAATAACTACATATACATATAATTATAATGAGAGTAACATCGTGCGGTTTCAGAGGAGCTTCCTCCCGCGTACACTTAGATTGTGGAATGAACTTCCTGCCGAGGTTTTCCCACGAGACTACAGCATGGGGTTTTTCAAGAAGGGTATATTACGGTTTCTTGTGTGCGTCTCTCTAGTGACACCCCTGGTGTTTCTGGCGTCCATAGGCTACAGTAATCATTTACCATCAGATGGGCCGTATGCTTGTTTGCCACAATAGTAATATAAAAAAAAAGATAAATCACACAGCTTCATCTAGTCCCAAGGTAAATAGAGCTTGTGTTATGGCTACTAGACAACTGATATATGCCATAAATACATTATCATTTTGTAAATACATATAAGTAATAGAAAACACCCAGACTGATCAAAGAATTATAATCTTGAACACAAATTTTTACACCGGCCGAGTTTCGAAATTGAATCGAATGTATTTAACATCAGCTAACTCGAGCAAAGACGTATAATTGGAAATAATAAAAAATCAAGTCATTTGCATAAACTTAATGCTTATTCTTGCGTGTGAAGGCAAAAGTGGAATAATAGACAATATTAGTAATAACCACTGTAATTAACTTATAAATTATTTCCGTATTATATAAAAGTTTTTTTTTATTTCACATTATTTTTCTTATGAATAGACATTTATACATAAACTAGGTAAGACCGCGGATTCGTTGCCTAACTTTGTTTGTAAACATAATGGAATAAAACAAACAAAAATTTCAATTTTCAAACAAAAAGTCGAATTAATAAAAATATTTATAGAAAACAAATCGGTAATCAATCAATCTAATCAATCATAATGAATAAAACATGTTTTCTTGTGTATCTTTGATTTGACAGCGCTTTTCATCCGTTGGTCGCGGGTTCGATTCCTCGCATGAAGCAAACATTTGTATTCATGAGTGTTTGTATCAACCAGGGTGTTTTCTATGTATATTATAAAAACATCTAAGTATTTATATAGTTGTTCTAGTACCTATAACACAAGTCCTGCTTAGCAAGGCACTAGATGGCGCTGTGTAAATTGTTCAAAGTTGTTATTATTACCTTCCAGCGCAGACACTAAAAAAATCCCCTCTTTACGTTACTTTAGACAAAATCGACCCAAGATAGAATGTATAAATATAAATGAGGCGTGACCCCACTCGACAAGTTTCCCTGTATGTACAAATAATAGTAGTTCTGCATGTACGTTGACACAGTTATACGCACTATAAACGGGTGTGGCAAATAATTACAGGTACATATTCAGTGCAGTTCGCAGTGCCGCAATTCCTTCTAATACAGTGTAATATTTAGATAGACAAGTTTAGAGGTAAATAGTATACCAAGCAGAAACCTAGTTGTAATATATTAACGAAACTCAACAACATTCCTAAAACAGCAAATTGAATCCATACGAATATTATAAAGCTGAAGAGTTTGTTTGTTTGAACGCGCTAATCTCAGGAACTACTGGTTCGAATTGAAAAATTCTTTTTGTGTTGTATAGTCCATTTTTCGAGGAAGATTTTAAGCTATATGACATTATGCTACGACCAATAGGAGCGGAGATGTGGTGTAAAATATTGCATAAGGTGGGGAAATGAAACGCAGACGAAGTTGTGCGGGTCAGCTAGTAATTTAATAAAACCCTCATATAAACTGCTCGGTTATGATCAATTTATATATAAGAGTTAAAAAATATATATATTTCTCTGCAAGAGACTTCCGTAATATCGCAATGTATACTTAAAGAACAAACAAAAAAAAAAAGCATACGCACACTAAATATATAAAATACAATACATATAATAAATAAATATTATATTATAAATATAATTATTATAAGAGTTAAAAAATATATATATTTCTACTTCGTAATATCACAAAATTTAGCTTAATTTCATGATTTACGAGTAAACTAAATAGTAAAATCAAATCAAAATATCTTTATTCGTGTAGGTCTATTACAGACTTTTATGACATGTCAAATCTACGGCCAGTTCGGAGTGCTTTCGAGCCCAGAATAGCAAGCAAGAAACTCAGCTCTTATTCTTTTCAAACGACCATATATACTTATTTTAGTATTTGGATTACTTTATCTACCTTCAAGCATTTGGATTAGGTACTTTATCTACCTTCACGCAATGTCTATTACAAAGGTAAAAATAAATATAAAATATAAAAGTTTCAACTAATATTCTTTATACATGTTTAAAATGCAAGTTGAAATATTAGCTAAATCATTTATTTTTCATTTTATCTTTACAACCTACAACCTCTTTGTTCGTCGATATCATTGCATTTTGAGTATTATTGCAGTGGTAATAAAATTCAAAGTTTAAAGAGCCTGTGGCTCAGTGGCGGGGCTGGCGGGCGCGTGGGATGAGCAGCACAGGTCGGCTGGGGTAGCGTCTGGTGCGCCGCGCATGCGCGCAGGTCACGGCCGTCTCTCAGCTGCATCCGACACTGACCTATCTCGTTTATATATAGTACACACCATATAAAATTACCGGATGTCATGCAATATCTATACATATAAATAAAATAGGAGTGTCTGTTTGTAATACTGAAATAACCGTTTTTACTACATGCATATGAATATAAATACGGTACATACACCAAAAGAATATTTTCTACAATTTTAGTCTGTTTGTTTCCACTAATCTCTGAAATGGCTGGACGGATTTTGACGAGACTTTCATTGGCAGGTAGCTGATGTAATAAAGAGTAACTTAGACTACTTTTATTTTAGAAAAATTCTCGAATTAACTTTTATTGTTAATTTCCACGCGGACGGAGTCGCGGGTACAGCTAGTTATTAATATATCAAACGAAATTAAAACGAGGCTAATGTGTCATTTTAAAGAAAGTCCACATGTAATATATATTATAACATTTTTTTGTTCCTGATTTGAAACCTTACATACGAGTGTAGTGTTGGTTTATTTGCATCACCATGTGAGTAAAACCCAATTGTGTCACGGTATGTCACATTATATAGTAAAAACAATGTAAGGTTCAATACAGCTACACGTATGCTAACTTGAGATACGAAGGCCACTTCCTTAAAAGGACTTGACGATCTTGAAGAGTTACCTAGACAGTTTTATTGACTTTTCTTCATTTCAACGTAACTGAATAAATAAGAGCCCATATCTTTTAATACTGATGATGGGCTCTTATCATGATTTCTTCGTATTTTAATTACCAATATTTAAAATGTTGCCACGGTCGTGGGTAAAAAATATTTATAGAATAGAATAGAAAATACTTTTGAATTCACTATGACTGATTTCCTCTTATTAATTGTTTAACCAGTTGGTTATATATTCAATATTTTTTCTATTTGAGTATTTAATTGAATTAGTGCTAATTGGTGGTTTGTATTCACACACTTAAACTTAAAAATGTAAAATAATAATAAAATTATTTAAAAGAGCAACACGCAAGTTTCTTGCTCGTTCTTCTTGTGACGAGACAGCTTTCCGAATGAGCGGTAGATTAAAAAAATGTGATGACTATTCAAAAGTGCTTCAATATAAGTTTATTTGAATAAATGATTTTCTATTCTATTCTATTCTGAATAGTCATAGTTATCTTTTATTCACTTGGGATTTATCACGATGGGCTAACTGACCTGATCTCACCTTCACCTTATAATCCTCCACTGGTGCGCCAGCGTAAACCGTTAGGCAGGCTGGTGCACAATATCATTATCATATGGGCCGTATGATTGTATATCACCTTTGTAATATAAAAAAATAATGTTTATAATCAATCACTATTCGAGAACGTGTCGCTTGATTCTAGGTATCACTTTATCATCGCTTGACCCGACTCGTTGGAAATTATAATCAGTTTGCCATCACGTGTCCGATCGACCTACAACAATCTTATCTATATGAACCGCTTTATAATTCCATTGGAGTGGGGAATTGTTAGTACCACTACTAATAATCCCCATACCCCGCCCCGAGTCTCCATAGACTGAAACCCCATTGCTACCCCACGCGTTTCCCTGTGGAAACCAAGTTATTTCATCACGATGTGACAGTTGATAAGATGAGAATAAGGTCAGGTCAGTTACCCTGACTTCAATGTTATCTTATCATCCTCCACTGGTGCCCCGCCACCGTATACAATGTAGGTGGGTGCACCATTTCATTATCATTCATTAAAAAAGGTCTAGAATCAAACCCCGATACCAAATAAGATCCTTAACTCGACTCCTCCTAGACTCAAGGACCTTTTTTGGGTTTGTATCGATGAAATAACACTCAAAGTTTTTATCTGCCAGATTTGAAATCCCTACCACTTGGGTGGAAATCACAATAAAGAGTTAGCGAAAAAACTGCAGAATACTGCCGTTATATTCTGCAAATTCTGGAAACAAATTTTAATATAAAAAAAAACTACGTTTATAAGCTGCTAAAATGAATATATAAAAATAAATAAATGATTTTTCATTTCATTTCATTTAGCGACGAGGATTTCTTTCATCAACTAATTCCATCAAAAAATACGATAAGAGCGCTGAGTTCACCACTAATTCCATTAAAAAATACCTACGATAAGGGCGCTGAGAACATTGGTAATCGTTGTGACACGATATTTAAGTATCGATAAATAAAATACGATAAGATACAAATCTGTACGGCGTCAGAATAAAATAGAAACAATTTCATAATTAAATGAATAGTGATAACGGATTATCTGACCTACTACAAGTATAGCTTATCTAATCTCGAGGTAAATGAATATGTAGTATGTATACTACAATGGGAAGAGAGGAGAGTGGGGAGTGTCAGTAACGAAGACTGCTG